ATCAAGGTATGTTGATTATTACTGGTGATTAGAATGCAAAAGTTGGAAACAAAGAAGAATCACCAGTAGTTGGAAAATACGGTCTTGGTGATAGAAATGACGCTGGAGAACTCATGATAGAATTTTGCAAGATCAATGACTTATTCATTGCAAATACCTTTCTTCAACAACATAAATGGCAGCTATACATGTGGACTTTGGCAGATGGAATGCACATGAGTCAGACTGACTACATCTGTGGAAAGAGGTGATGGAGAATCTCAGCATCTTCAGCCAAAACAAGGCCAGGAGCTGACTGTGGAAGAGACAATTAACTGCTCATGTGCAAGTTCACGTTAAGCTGAAGACAATTAATACAAGCCCACAAGAGCCAAAGTATGACCCTGATTATATCCCTCTTGAAATTAGAGACCATCTAAAGATCAGATTTGACACACTGAACACCAATGATCGAAAACCAGATGAATTGTGGGATGACATAAAGCACATCATACATAAAGCAAAGAATACCAGAAAGATGTTGACTTGTGTTTTACTGACTACGCAAAAGCATTTGATTGTATGGATTATAACAAATCTGGATAACACTGAGAAGAATGGGAATTCCAGAACACTTAATTATACTCATGAGGAACCTGTACACAGACCAGGAGGCTGTCGTTCGAACAGAACAAGGGGACACTGCATGGTTTAAACTCAAGAAGGGAATGCATCAGGGTTGGATCCATTCACCATACTTATTCAATCTATATGCTGAGCAAACAATCTGAGAAGATGGACTATATGAAGAATGTGGCATTAGGAATGGAGGAAGAATCATTAACAACCTGTGATATGCTGACAACACAATTTTGCTTGGTAAAAGTGAGGATGACTTGAAGCACTTACTAATGAAGATTGAAGAATACAGTCTGCAGTATTACATCTCAAAATAAAGAAAACCAAATTCCTTGCAACTTGACCAATAAGCAGCATCATGATAAATGGAGAAAAGATTGAAGTTGTCAAAGATTTCACATTGCTTGGTTCTACAATCGACAGCAACGGAAGCAGCAGTCAGGACATCACACGACATACAGCACTGGACAAATCAGCTGCAAAGGACCTCTTTCAAGTGCTCAAGAGCAAAGATGTCTCCTGGGGGCAACTAACATAAGCCTTGGCATTTTTAATTACCTCATATGCGTGTGAGAGCTGGACAATGCATAAGGAAGACCGAAAAAGAGCCAATGCCTTTGAGCTGTGGCACTGGAGAAGAATGCCGAAAGTACAATGGACTGCTACAAGAACTAACAAATCTGCCCTGGTGGAAGTGCAGCCAGAATGCTCCTTGGAAGTAAGAATGACCAGACTTCGTCTCACATAGTTTAGTCATGTTGTCAGAAGGGACCATTCACTGAAGAAGGATGTCATGCTTTGTAAGGTGGAGGGTCAATGAAAGAGGGCAAGGCCCTCAACAAGATGGACTGACACAGTGGCAGCGACAATGGGCTCAAGTATAGCAAGGATTGTGGAGCTGGTGCAGGACCAGGCAGTGTTTTGTTCTGCTGTGCGTAGGGTCGCTATGAGTCGGAGATGACTCGACAGCACCTAACAACAACAACAACATAAAGGAAGGAAGAGATCATTAAAAAGACAGGAAAGGAAGAAAAGACAAAAATGGATGTCAGAAGAGACTCTGAAACTTATGGAGAGTAGCTAAAGCAAATGGAAGAAATACAGAAGATTTCAAAGAGCAGCTTAAGAAGATAAAGTCAATTATAATGAAATGTGCAGAGACATGGAATTAGAAAACCAAAAGGGAACAACACGCTCAGCATTTCTCAAGCAGAAAGAACTAAAGGAAAAATTCAAGCCTCAAGTTTTAATACTGAAAGATTCAGAGAACAAAATATTGAATGATGCAAAAAATATTAAAAGAAGATGGAAGGAATACAGAGTCAATGTACCAAGCAGAATTGTTTGATGTTCATCCATTTTCAGGAGGTGGCATACAATCAAGAATTGATGGTATTCAAAGAAGAGGTTGAAGCTGCACTGAAGGATCTGGCAAAAAACAAGGCTCTAGGAATTGACAGGCTACCCACTGAGATGTTTCAACAAACAAATGCTGCGCTAGTACTTCTCGTCTATGCCAAGATATTTGGCCAACTGACTGGAAGAGATCCATTATCTGTACCCATTCCAAAGAAAAGTGATCCCACAGAATGTGGAAATTATCAAGCAACTAATATCATATACAAGTAAAATTTTGCTGAAGATAAATCAAAAATGGTTGCAGCAATATGTTGACAGAGAACTTCAAGAAACGCAAGCTGGATTCAGAAGAGCATGTGCAATGAGGGATTATCATTGCCGATGTCAGACAGATCTTGGCTGAAAGGAAAGAATACCAGAAAGATTTTTACTTGTGTTTCACTGACTATGCAAAGGCATTCAACTGTGTAGATCACAACAAATTATGGTTAACATTGAGAAGAAAGGGAATTCCAGAATACTTAATTGTCCTCATGAGGAACCTGTACATAGACCAGAGATTGTTGTTTGAACAGAACAAGGAGATACTGCATGGTTTAAAATCATGAAAGGAGTATGTCAGGGTTGTATTCCTTCACCATACTTACTTGATCTGGATGTTGAGCAAACAATCCGAGAAACTGAACTATATGAAGAACAAGACATCAGACACACAGAGATTACACACACACACACACAGATTACACATACATGGCATACATACACATCTGTTTATTCTACATGTGCAAAACTGAACCCTGCACTCTTTCCTACTACTCACTAATCTGTGCCATCCACAGCCCATCTCAAGTCACTGATGGCCACTCTATCCTTCAAAAAGTCACTCTTGACTTCTTTCTCTCATACCCACATTCATTCAGTGAGCAAATTTTATTGTTGGCACCTTCAAATTATATCCAGAACCTGCCCAACTAACATCCTCACTGTTACCATTCTCCCCAAGCCTTCACCAACTCTCGCAAGTATTATAACAGTGACCCCCAAACAAGTCTCTCTACTTCTGTCTTGCTTTACCCCCAACTAGTCTCTTCTTACAACTGTAGGAATGCTCCTTTTACACATAAAACAAGACCCTTCATTCATCTGTTCAAAACCCTGAAATTGCTTTGTTTCACTCACAGAGTTGTTGTCAGCCACCAAGTCTGTTCAGACTCATAGTAACCCTACACGACAGAACTGCCCCATAGTGTTTCCTAGACTGTAACAACAACACATTTCTCCAGGAGCAGATCACCAAATTTTTTCTCCCAGAAAGCCACTGGTGGATTCAAACCGCAGAGCTTTCAGTTAGCAGGTGAGCGCTTAACCAATGCAACATCAGGGCTCATCTCATTCAAGAGTAAAAACCAAATTTCTCCTCATACTCCTGGGTAACCCTTCTGACCTCCTTTTCCTGCTTTTCCTTTTGTTTACTCCCTCTAGAAACCATAACTCTTCCTCAAAGGATGCCAGACATGTTCCTGTCCTGGGACTTCTACCTGGTATGTTCTTCTCCCAGATTGCAACAGCTAATTCCCTCATCTCACCTGCAGTTTCACTGTTCTTCAACAAGAATATATTGCCTTCATTACCCACTCAAAAAAATGTAAATGATAATGATATGAAAGAGTATACTTTTAAAATGTCTCTTTACCCAAATGCTTTCTCTGTAAGTACAGGATTAAATAACAGGGTCAAGTTTTCAGAAGAAAAAAAAAAAAATTATGACAAGAGCATGTAGTATCTTGTATGCCTATGTGCTCAATGAAGACTTTAATAAAGACAAGTGTCTCAAATGAATCAAACTATATGGTGTGGTATAAGAAGTTCTAGGTTTCAGACTGAAATATCTTACTTAAATCTTCTTTTGTTGCGGTGTGTCATCCAGTTTATTTCAACTCATAACGACCCTAAAGGGCACAGCAGAACTGCCCCATAAGGTTTCTAAGACTGCAGTCTTTACAGAAGCAGATTGCCACATCTTTCTCCCATGGATCAGCTTGTGGGATGAATCATCCACCTTTCCGTTAGCAGATGAGCCCTGAAGCACTGAACCACTAGGGCTCCTTAATCTTCTACCACTTATGAATTATTATTTATAGCTTTCTTATATGTAATAAAGAAATTAATCTGTAAACTTCATCATAAATGAGATGCTCTACAAGAAAAATACTTATATATATGCACCTAACAAAAACAAACCTAATAAGGCTGATTTAGTCCCTGAAGATTCTGCAATACACACAAGCGCTACAGAGAAGCAACCTAAATACCACAAATGTCAGGCATCTGGATGCAGACTCAGAATTTCATACAACTTCCAAAGGCTACTTTCTGAAAGCTGTGAAACCAACTCAAAACTGAGAGGGGTGGTGAGCCTTGCTTTCTAGGAGATGCAAGGACAAAGAAACCAGAAACCCAAGGTTATGAAGAGAGCACAGATTTCAAATGTCCACACCTTGTATCTCGATTAGGGCTTCGGAGAGTTGGTTCCTGATGACCCTAGGAAGAAATCACTGTCCGTGGGAACTAACTGCCCTGGCTGGCGCACACCAATAGAGAAGACAAATGGCTTTTTGAGAGAAAGTTGGAAGTTAGGTGGTTGTCTCCGTCTTCTTAGCGAATCGGTACTAGGAATTTTGCCACCCCACCTGAACCACTCACCGGATTAACCGGGCTGCAATGCCTTCTGAGTCGGGAACAAACGTCCCGGACCCGGGAGGGTCTAAAAAATCTCTAAGTGGCCACCTGCTTTTTTGAGACCGTTGCTAGGGAAACGGGGCTAAGCCCAGACTTCATCTGGTGGCTTTCTCCCGGCAGGCCTACACGCTCCGGGAGCGTAGTTATGAGAGTGACGCACGGAAGGGGCGGGGCAGAGGAGAGATGGACCTGTAAGCAAGGGTTGAGGGGCACTCCAGGGCGCATGCGTACTCTGCTACGTTGCACGATCATTACGTCTTAGGTCGTAGCGGGGTTAGGAGGCTATGGCAGCCGCAAAGGTCCTTCCAGACGTAGCTCTGCGAGAAGCCACCCAGCGAAAACTGCGGATGTTTTCAGAGCTGAGAGGTACTGAGGAAGAAACCTGAACGTACCTGGGCAATAGAGAGGCAGGGGCCTTAAGCTCCAAGAGATTTGCAGAACTGTCACCTCCTGCCCTCTCACCTGCGGATCTAGGACGCTGGCCCAGGAGTAGCGAATGTTCATCTTGACTTTTTAATTCTTCTATCACTGTATCTTACTTACGTTATATTTGTTACTTACTTTCTTTAACTTTATTCCTAGTAATACAAGTATCAAAGTAGGAAAGCAGGAAGAAAGAGAAAAAAGAAAAAAAAAATCCAGAGAAATGAAACTGTAAATCCGGGTACCGGATAATGGATTTTGCTCATTAGCAAAAGTTATTTTAAATAAATCTAAAGCTCTGAAGCATAGTGTTTTGACCCTTAAAAACAGTTCTCATTTTTACCTTCCCCTGTCTGTTTTGCTAGTTGCTCTGTAATGTAAACGCTTAGAAGTGTGAAAAAAATACAACAAAAAAACGTGGAGGAAACATAGATTAAAAATTAAAGGAGGAAGTTTGGTACCAAGAGTGTTTTTAAGAAAGAGAAAAGCTGTACTACTTTCCATTCCTTGAACAAATATTTAATAAGAGTTGGTAATGTTGTTGATACAATGATTGATTAAAAAATTAAAAGACTAATACTTGGGAGGGAGTAAATTGTTCAAAACTGTTATATGCTAGCTGACAAGTCCTATTTGTTAAACAATAAAATCTCTTATTCATTTGGTGTATCAATAAACGAGACTGACCAATTGTCTACCAAAAGTACAGTCTGTGTTTTAATGAGTTCATCTCGGTTTTTCTGTTATTCAGAATTTTATGTCATACGCTAATAGCCTTTGTAAACTTTCATGGTTCAATGTAAGGTAAGAAGAAAAAAAGTACCCAAATTTATAAGCAGCAACATTAAAAGAATGGATCCTTGGGTTGAATCTTAACCAGCAAACATTAAATGGCCCTGGTATATGAAAATTGATTTAAAAAGCTGGAGATTCATTTATTTATTCATTTGTCCATTCTTAGTTAAGAATTGAAGCAGTAGTCTTCAGTCAGAAGTTATCTAAAGAAATATATTTTTCAGAAGTTCTAAATAAATGGGGTTTTAGCCTATGAAAGGAGCAAGTAATCTGTAAGAGAAAAAGAGTAAACTTTGTGGACAATCCTCATTAGAACTGTTGTCATCTTACTTAAAACCCACTGCTGTTGACTCATGGCATCCCCATTTGTGTCAGAGAACTGTGCTTCACGTGGTTTTCAGTGGGTTTAATCTTTCAGAAGTAGATTGCCAGGCTTTTTTCCATGGCACCACTGCATGGATTCAAACTGCCAACATCAGTCAACATCAGAGCTCAAATCATTTTCACCACTCAGAGATTTTTGATGATGCTTACTAGTTGCTGTTGAATGGATTCTGATTCATGGTGCGCGCATGTGTACACACTGAAAGTGCTCCATAGGACTTTTAAGGCCTTTTGGAAGCAGATCATCAGGCTTAGCGAGACAACTTTGGGTGGATTGGAACTGCCACCCTTTTGACTAACAGTAAAGTACTTACCTGTTTGCACTACCCAGCGATTCCTTGATCATACTTACTGATCACTTAATAATCTATGGCACCTAACAACAACAAAATTATAAGTTGTAATAATTATTTCCTAACTCTCAAAAGCAGAAGATATATCTGTGAAGATGTAGTAAGAGTTACCTATTTTTGTACCTTCTTTCCAAATAGGCAAACTTGTAATGGCTAGAGAATTCTAAAAAAAAAATCTCTATTTCTTTGCTTTTTCCAAATAGGCAAACCTGTGGCAGCTGGAGAATTCTGGGATATTGTTGCAATAACAGCTGCTGATAAACAACAGGAACTTGCTTATAAGCAACAGCTGTCAGAAAAGCTGAAAAGGAAAGAATTACCCCTTGGAGTTCAATACCACGTTTTTGTTGATCCTGCTGGAGTCAAAATCGGTATGCATTTTATGGTCAAGTTTATAGTAGGTTCTGGGCAGAACAATCACTGAAGAAAATCCTTTGTATGGCTTACACTTAATAATAAACTCTGTATTTTTCCATACATAGACTCTACTCATACCCTTAATTTTAATTTAAACTAAATTGACTCTCTTTAGAAAAAAAAAAAAAAAAGAAGAAGCATAACAACTCTTACACATTGTAAATTGTAGTGGAAACTTCCAGGACATTATTTAAAAGAGAATTTTATTAGTTTTAGTGATGTTTAATCTACTCACATGATAAATATTCCTTTGGACCTTTTGAGTAAGGCTCTTAAGGGCTTTCTTCACCCTAGAATTTTTAAGAAATTTATATGAAGGGAGCAAATCAGGAAAAAAAATATACTTGGCTTCTTGGGACATGTAGGATGCCAAAGAACACAGTCTAAATGGCTTAGATATCATAGAATATTTATGTAAAAAACACAGTTTAGGTCAACTTTACCTTTTGAACTTCCATTGCAAGTAAAATATGTAATATTTTCCCAGAGGACCGTTTTCCACATGAGACTTAAACCTGCAACTCCTTGATACAGGAGATACTGAATCTATGTTTGAGATTGGCATTATTCTAAGTATGCAGCATTTTTTAATTGTCACAACTATGAGCTCAGTATTTTATCATTCTCATCATGTAGATGAGATACTGAAGAACATAAAGTAGAATAATTTATCCAAAGTCACTAGTTAATTGTAGTTATATTTAAAGTGTTTTATAGGAAACCAAGCTCTAAAAAACTTTTAGGAAAGAAGCCTAACTTAAACATGTGATTATGTCTTGTGGAAGAATTATTTAAATGGGTTTTGTGATTTGTAATTCCATTCAAATATTTATATTTGCAGTCTCAAGTGCTGCAGATGGGTTAATTTATTATTTCTTCTTTTTAAAATTAGTATTAGCAGGAAAATATTAGCTCATCATTTACTAAAGGCTGATTTCTGGGTTTCACTATTAATTGTTGATTTGCAATGAGATGTGTATTTAATGTGCTTCTTTTGCTAATACCTTTGCTGTCTTTCTCTCTAGTTAATGATAGTCAAAAACCCTGTCCTTGAAGTTATAAAATATAAACGTGTTATAATTAGGAAGTTTTAGTAGGTTTCAATGAAATCAACTGTGCTTTATAACTTTATTTTTTAAGGAAATGGTGGATCAACACTTTGTGCCCTTCGGTGTTTGGAAAAGCTTTATGGAGATAAATGGAATTCCTTTACCATCCTATTAATTCACTCTGGTAAAGTTGTTCTTTACTAATTTACATTTTCTTTTGAGTATCATTGATTCCCTAGACACTTGTCTCTTCTTTTTTCTTCAGTCTTTTAAGTTGTTTAACTTTGAAGATAATATGCATTGTTTTTCTTAGTATGTTTATGTTTCAAGCAGTTAATGCTATTCACAAAATTCAGTTTCCTTCAAACTGATGATCACATACCTCATCATCTTTTAAAAGGAGATGGCTTTTAGTATGTATATAGAATATTGTTTTCCTAAGACCATACTAAACTTACTGCTGTCTTATTGGTTCCAACTCATAGCAACCCCTCCTTGGGTTTCCAAGGGGGTATCTCTACAGAAATAGATTGTCCAGTCTTCCTTCCAAGAAGTGGCTGGTGGGTTTGAACCTCCAGCCTTCTGGTTAGCAGTCAAATGCCTTTAGGCACTTATGATGATATCTTGGGAGTACTTTGAAGGACATTTTTATTGTGGGGAAGAGGCTGGATTACCTCTGTGAAGACCAGATTTTGCTAAAAGAGGTTTTTTTTTTTTCTTTTTTAAATCTTAAAATGTAAAAAGAAAAAGAAAAGGTGTTGACAAAACACAGAGTTGGCAAGGAAATATATAAGGGGAAAACAGACACAACAGAGGACATTTTAAAACAAAGAAGTAGGAAGATATACTCTTAAAAATAAAGCATAGTGTTTTAAGTTGAATAAATTTAGATGTATGGAAAAAAAATTGGTTATATGAAAACCTATGTTATTTTTCTCTTTATACTGGAGGCTCATGAAAATGTTGACATGGATTTACAGCAGTCCAGGGACAGATATTTCACAACCACATATTGACAAGGCCTCCAAATCACTTTCTAATTCTTAAAATTCATATTTTTACAGAGCAATAATTTTTTTTTTTTTTTGGTGTCCCCATTTGGGGCCTTCTTTCCCTGCCCAGAGTGTTCTCCAAATGCCTATATAAAACTTTGCCTTATTTTTCTCCATCTTTCAGTACTTAGGTTCATTCTTGTTCCTCTGAAATGACTGTTTACCCCCTTATCGATGCTGTCCTAGGCACTTGTACATCCTTTCTTCCCTATTGTAATAAGATAATTATTTGTGTAAAATTTGATTGCCTCAGTAGACTAAGATTCACGAGGGCAGAAGCCATCCCTGCTTCTTCTTCCACTCTTGCATTCCTAGGACCTAGTTCAATGCCTGTGACACAGTAAACATAGTGAATATTTATTGTATGAAGCAATGAGCCATCCAACTTTTCATCTTACCATAATATAACCATAATTACCTAGTAACAAAATACCCTGCAGATATGAAGATAGAAAAAAAAAAAAGTATTTGAGGAGTGATGCATCTTTACAATATTTTTTCTTATATACAGCCACTTAAGCCACAGGGATTAAACTGTTCTTTAAATTTTTAAAAAAATGCAAAAATGGGCTGAGTTCCTATCATGTATTTTGTTTTATTCTTTTATTTATTTTTACCCTCTCATTGCCACACACTCCTGGAAACCCCTCTCTTGACTTTTTACAATAGTGGTCTCATACAATATTTGATCTTTTGTGATTGACTGATTTCACTCAGCATAATGGCCTTTAAGTTCATCCATGTTATGAGATGTTTCACAAATTCTTCATTGTTCTGTAACACTGTGTAGTATTCCATTATGTGTATGTACCATAGTTTATTGATCCTTTTTTCCTTTGATGGGCATTTAGACTGTTTCCATCATTTTGTTATTGTGAATAGTGCTATGATGGACATGGTGAAGCATACATCTGTTCGTATCATGGCTTATATTTCTCTAGGGTATATACCTAGTAGTGGGATTGCTGGATCATATTTCTGTTTCTGGCTTTTTAAGGAAGAGTGATTACCATTGTCCACAGTGGTTGCACAATTTTGCAGTCCAACCAGCAGTGTGTGAGGTTTCCAGTCAATAATTCTTTATAAAGATAATGTCAAACTAAGCTATCTAAATTATAGCTTTAAGACTGACTAAAAATTTTTTAAAGTTTTTTTTTTTTTCTTTTTTAATGTATGATTTTATTCCAGAAGAAGTATTATCAACTTAGCAAAATTTAAATCGGGCAACAGAAAATTTACAGTAAGAAATAGATAATGGTTATAATGCTAAACTTTACTATTGACTACAAACAAACCAGACTCAGTGCCATCGAGTCTGTTCTGACTTGTGGTGACACACTTTGGATTTCTGAGGCAAGAAATCTTTACAGAAGTAAATTGTTAAGTTTTCCTGTCTGGTTAGTGGGTTTGAACCTCCAACTTTTGGGTTAGCAGTCAAGTGCCTTAGGTCCTATGCAACTAGACCTCCTTTTACTATTGACTGGGTTTTAAAAAAATAAGAATAGAATGTTATTATTAGCTTTCCTTTATTGAAAAATATACTGTGTGCTATTTGTTTCATATCTTATTGATCTCATAAAACATGCTAAGTTAACTGTTACTCTACATTTGTGATTTGAAAATTGATATTTAGTGGATAAGTAACTTAGCCAATGATGAACAACTGAAATGTAGTAAATCAGGTTTTTAACTCATATTTGTCTAACTCTTTTTACTATGTCATGCTGCTTTTAACTATAGCTAATCCATTAAAATGATTTAATGTATTCAGGCAAGCACACTTTTCAAAAATTAAGGTTATTAGACTCAATTTATAAGAAGAACAAATATCCAAACTAGAAACAAGCATAAATTGAAAATGCTTTAAGTGTATTTGGTAACTTGAAGAAAATATATCTGGATATTATTGTTTAATAATTATAATTTTGAATGATGTATCAGTTTTTATAACAACTTTTTTCTTGTGAAGTTGATCCTTAATGTAGGAGTTTAAACGTGGTGAAATTTACTGTTTAAAATATAGATGCTAAAAGTAAGTATTAGGGAGCTCTGGTGGTGTAGTGCCTAAGGCATTTGACTGATAACCAGAAGGCTAGCGGTTCAAACCCACCAGCCACTCCTCCAAAGAAAAGTTGGGCAATCTACTTCCGTAGTGATACTGCCTCAGAAACCCAAGGAGGGGTCACTGTGAGTCAGATCCTACTCGACAGCAGTGCGTTGTGTTAAAATGTAGATGCTAGAACATGTTTAACCAATGATCCTTTTTACAAGTTATACATTTGATTAGAAGCAATTAATCGCCTCTAAAGTACATGACAATTGTTTCCTAATCTACAGTTTTTAAAACAATGCTTTATCAAATGGTTACAGAAGAGTTTAAAATCTGGAATTTATTATTCTTTCCCAAGTTACGTTGTATATATTATATATCTTTAGAGATATTTTGAATTTTAACTGGGTTTTTAAAATGTTATGAACAGTAATAAACTTTTAAATGGTTATTTTGTTTGTTTAATTTTATAGGTGGCTACAGTCAGCGCCTTCCTAATGCAAGTGCTCTGGGAAAAATTTTCACTGCTTTACCTCTTGGTAACCCCATTTATCAGATGTTAGAGTTAAAACTAGCCATGTACATTGATTTTCCCTCACATATGAAACCTGGGATTCTGGTGACTTGTGCAGATGATATTGAACTTTATAGTCTTGGAGAATCTGAGTTTATTAGGTTTGACAAGCCTGGCTTTACTGCTTTAGCTCATCCATCTAGTTTGACTGTAGGTACCACCCATGGAGTATTTGTGTTAGAACCTTTTAATCATTCAGAACATAGAGACCTTGAGTACAGGTGTTGCTATCGCTTCCTTCATAAGCCCAGTGTAGAAAAGATGCACCAATGTGATGCTGTGTTTAGAGTCAGAAATTTTTCTCGGCAGGAGTTTGCTGGAGAGAACATTAAATTAAACACTGAGTATGTCTACACAGACAGCCTATTTTATGTGGGTCATGAATCAGTGAAAAAGTTACTCGCTTTTTATGAAGAAATAGGCACACTAAACTGTGAAATAGATGCCTATGGAGACTTTCTGCAGGCTTTAGGACCTGGAGCAACCATGGAGTATACCAGAAACACATCAAATGTCACTAAAGAAGAATCAGAGTTGGTAGATATGAGGCAGAGAATATTTAATCTGCTAAAAGGAACATCATTAAATGTTGTTGTACTTAATAACTCTAAATTTTATCACATTGGAACAACTGAAGAGTATTTGTTTCATTTGACAGCGGATAGCAGTTTGAAATCAGAGCTTGGCTTACAACCCATGGCTTCTAGCATCTTTCCAGCTTTACCAGAATGCTTTGGTAAAACATGCTGTGTCATTCAAAGTATTCTGCATTCAAGATGTTCTGTAGCACCTGGCTCAGTTGTGGAGTATTCCAGACTGGGGCCTGATGTTTCAGTTGGGGAAAACTGCATTGTTAGTGGATCTTACGTCATAACAAAAGCTGTCCTGCCTTCATATTCTTTTGTGTGCTCTATAAGTTTAAAGATGAGTGGACATTTAAAGTATTCAACTATGGCATTTGGAGTGCAAGACAACTTAAAGAAGAATGTTAAAGCTTTGCCAGATATCAAGTTACTTCAGTTCTTTGGAGTCTCTTTCCCATCATGCTTAGAAATTTGGAATCTTAAAGTTACAGAGGACCTGTTCTCTGGAAACACAACATGTTTAAGTTTGTGGACTGCTCGTATTTTCCCAGTCTGTTCTTCTTTGAGTGATTCAGTTACAACATCCTTAAAGATGTTAAATGCTGTAAAGAAAAAGTCATCATTTAACCTGAATAGCTATCAACTGTTATCCATTGAAGAAATGCTTGGCTACAAAGATGTAGAAGACATGATCGCTTATAGGAAGCAAATTTTTCTAGAAGTTGGTTTCAAGGAAAAGCAATCTGATTTAAAAACATCTTAAATATTACATACTTTGCCTTCCTTTAATTGACCAAAATTGCAAATACAGGAGTTTTCTGTAGACTTTTTTTTTTTTTTTGGGTAAATTTGTTTCACTGAATTGAGCTAACAAAATTTATTTTTAACACTGTTACTCCACCATAACACTAATAACCCAAAAATATGGATAAGCCTTTTTTTTTTCATGAAAGAATTAATACTTCAAGGCTATAAATTCAAAAGACATGTTTTTTTTTTTTTCTTTTTTTCTATCACTACTGGTAGCCTAGTGCCTAAGGTATTTGACTGCTAACCAGAAAGCTGCCGGTTCAAACCCACCAGCCACTCCTTGGAAGGAAGGTAGGGCAATCTACTTCCATAGTGATACCACCTCGGAAACCCAAGGATGAGTTGCTATGAGTCAGGTATGACTCGACGGCAGTGCATTTCGCTTTGTTACGTATCACTATTTTAATTTTTCCTTTTAATAAGGATTTGTGGAGCATTATTGTTCATATAATACCATAATAGTTTTAAATATACTTTTTAAAAGATACTTTTAGAGTTTCCCCATTATTTTGGCCTTTGAGTCTAATAAAGATAAGTGTTTATTGGTAATTTCCACCACAAATATATTCCTGTTTAGACGAACTAATAAAAATGGCATACTATAGGGTCTTAAGAGTACTGTAGAAATAATTTTCAGAAAAAAAATCCAAAACTGACAAATTCTGATTAAGTCAATGATTAACTGATTATTTTAATGGCTACGAGCAGTTTTTAAACTCATTTTAAAATTTTGTATCTCGTCTATTGATTCAGTCAAAATGAAACAAAGAGTGTATATGTTATGCTCAACATGAACGTGCACTTATGTATCTTATAAATTTTCTCTAAAGTTCTGTTCTGTAGGAAAACACATACAGATACACAGTTCTTTCTATGGGGAAATTGTAGGAATGATTAGATTTACTAATCATCACATAGGAGCTCTGGTAGCATAGTGCCTAAGGCACTTGACTGCTAACCAGAAGGCTGGTGGTTCAAACCCACCAGTCACTCCTCGGAAAGAAGGTTGGGCAATGCTACTTCTGTAGTGATACCACCTCGAAAACTCAAGGAGGGGTCACTATGAGTCAGGGCTGACTCGATGGCACATAACAACAGCAACAACAATCATCACATAACTTAATTTTTTGTCATTACTCATTCCCTCCTATTGATCCCTGTAACAGAACTGTTAAAATTGTCATATGGACACATTTTACTTTTCATTTCTTATTTTTAATCCACACTTTGGTGATAATGTGGGGTAACAGTAATTGGTTAAAAGTTAGACCTCAGGAGGCAGGCAGAAGAATAGAAAAATAATATACAGATGATGAACAGCTGCAGGAAAATAAAAATTGGCTGAAATTTCAAGTTATGTGTTCCTGTTTTGTTATAAGCATGTATGTAAAAAGTCTTCATATTAAAGTCTAATAATTAGAGACAAGATGTGTCAGTGTTTTGTGTTATAAATTAACATAGATAATTTGAAATAACTGGTGGTTCTTACTGCATATGTAAATGTTGATGTAATAACTTATAAATATGAAAATAATTATATGGCAAACTAGAAGTTACTTGTCTGTGGCCTTTATGTTATTTATATATTTTTTAAAAAATCATTTTTCTGGATTTTTCCTGAAGAGAAAATAAAAGGGTATGGTAATTATTGTTTAACATTTATTGAGTACCAATATACTGTCAGGGGATGTCATGTGTTTATCATTCTTTAAATGTCCAGTACTGTATTTCACCTAATCTGAAGTGCCACCAATTATATGATTCACCATTAAGAAAACGAAACACTGCCAATAAAATATAACATGATGCTTTATTTATAACTTGGAATTTTTATATTTATTGAAGATCTGTTTTACTTTTTAATTCACTTAGTGTCAGAGAAATAAAGCAACCATTATTCTCTTAGTATAACAAACCATGGGGGCTCTACATTTTTTTTTTTTTTTTTTAAGGCAAAGCCAATTTCAATAGAGGTTAATGTAACACAACTTCTATTTATACTTAGGATAACTGTACTGTTAATATTCCTTTTATTGTATTGAGCTTGGTCAGGGGCAATTTCATTCTCCTTCCCTCCAGTACAACTGCTTAACTCTATAAACTTGTGTTCTTCATGTTCCTGTTTATCTATTTTCACAGGTCTATGTGATTAGATATAAATATCACCTATCTATCTGTCTATATGTATATTATGAAGAGTAAATAATACTAATCACTGGTGGGAAAATACTAGCTCAAGGCCCTGACCTATATACACAAGCCACAGCAAACCAAACTCGTCACATTGTTCAAACTTTCTCATTTATATGCTGCTGTTGTTAGGTGCCATTGATTGAGTCAACTCTGATTCATAGTCACCTTATATACAACAGAAAGAAACATTGCTCAGTCAATCATCATTCATACAATCCTTGCTATACATGAGCTCATCGTTGCAGCCACTGTCGATCTATTTTGTTGAGGGTCTTCCCCTTTTCTCCTGACTCTCTATTTCCAATCATGATATCCTTTTGTAGGGACTAATCCCTTCTGATCATGTGAACAAAGTAGGTGACGTGCCATTCTCGCTTCTAAGGAGCATTCTATCTGCACTTCATCCAAGATAGATTTGTTCATTCTTCTAGCAGTCCCTGGAATTTTCTGTATTCTTCTCAAACACCACCATTAAAAGGTATCAACTCTTCTTCAGTCTTCCTTTTTCTTTGTCCAGCTTTGACATGCATATGAGATGAATGAAAATACTATGACTTAGATTAGGTGCACCTTAGTCTTTAAAGTGACAAGTGACATCTTTGCTCCTTAACATTTTAAAGGGGTCTTTTGCAACACACTTGCCTGGTACAATATAATGTCCTGATTTCTTGACTGTTGTTTCCATGAGTATTGATTGTGGATCTGAGTAAAATGAAATCCTTGACAACTTCAATCTTTTCTCCATTTTTTATGATGTTGCTTATTGGTCCAGTTGTGAGAATTTTCATTTTCTTTTTGTTGAGGTGTAATCATACTGAAAACTGTAGTCTTTGATCTTCATCAGTAAGTGCTTCAAATCATCTTCACTTTCAGCAAGCAAGGTTATGTCATCTTCATATCATAGATTATCAATGAGTCTTTTTCAAATCCTGATGCTGCGTTCTTCTTATAGTCCAGCTTCTCAGATTATTTGCTCAGCATACAGATTGCATAAGTGTGGTGAAAGGATACAACCCTGACACACACCTTTTCTGATTTAAGACCGTGCTCTATCCCCTTGTTCTGTTTGAAATACAGCCTCTTGGTCTATCTACAGGTTCCTCATGAGCACAATTAAGTGTTCTGGAATTCCCATTTTTTGCAGTGTTAATCATAATTTGTTATGATCCACATTGTTGAATGCCTTTGCATAGTCAAAACACAGGTAAACATCTTTCTGGTATTTGCTTTCAACCAAGGTCCATCTGACATCAGCAGATGAATGATATCCCTCATTCCATATCCTCTTCTGAGTCCAGCTTGGATTTCTGGAACTTCCCTGTCAATATATTGCTGCAACTTTTGAATTACCTTCAGCAAAATTTTACTTGCATGTGATATTAATGGTATTGTTTAATAGTTTCTACATTCTTTTGCATCATCTTTCTTTGGAAAGGGCACAAATATGGATTCCTTCTAGTCAGTTGGCCAGGTGGCTGTCTTCCAAATTCCTTGGCATAGAGGAGTAAGTGCCTCCAGCACTGCATCCGTTTGTTGTGACATCACAATGGATGTTGCATCAATTCCTGGAGCTTGCTTTTCACCTATTCCTTCAGTGCAGGTTTGACTTCATTCAGTGCCATTCATTCTTGATCATATGCTACCTGCTGAAATAGTTGAACATCTTCCACTTCTTTTTTGGTAAAGTGACTGTATATTCTTTCAGTCTTCTGTTGATGCTTCTTGCATTATTGAATATTTTGCCCATAGAATTCAATATTACAACTCAAGGCTTGAATTTTTTAAGTTCTTTCAGCTTGAAAAATACAGAGTATGTTTTTCTCTTTTTGTTTTTCTAACTCCAGGTCTTTGCACATTTCATTATAATTATTTTGTCTTCTTGAGCTGCCATTTGACATTTTCTGTTCAGCCCTTTTAAAGAGCTCTGGTGGCACAGTGGCTAAGGCATCTTACTGCTAACCAAAAGGTTGGTGGTTCAAACCCACCAGCCATGCCACGGAAGGAAGACTGAGTAATCTACTTCAGTAATGATTTACCACCTTGGAGACCCAGTGGGGGTTACTATGAGTCAGAGTTGACTCAATGACACTGGGTTTGATTTTTGGTTTGGTTCAGCTCTTTTATCATTTCTTCATTCACTTTAGCCTCTCTCTCTGTTTACAAGCAAGTTTCAGAGTATCTTCTAACACCCATTTTAGTCTTTTCTTCCTTTCCTGTATTTTATGTGACTATTTTCTTCATATATGATGATCTTGATTCCATAACTCATCTGATTTTCAGTCATTGGTGTTCAGTGCATCAAATCGGTTCCTTAGATGATCTCTAAATTCAGGTGGGATATAATCAAGGTTATATTCTGGCTCTTGGACCTATCTTAATTTTCTTCAGCTTCACCTTGAACTTGCATTTGAGCAATTGATGGTCTGTTCTATGGTCAGCTCCTTGCTGTGTCTTGACTGATGCTATTGCGCTTCTCCATTGCCTCTTTCCACAGTTGTAGTTAATCTGTACATGTAGTTTATTTGTAAGCTAGTAGTCCACAATTTTGCATCTGGTTAGAATTTGGAGTAAACATAAATCTGATTCCATACTTCATGTTTGTGCATTAGTCACTGTTATCACTTACCTATAAAGGTTGATTGCTGACATTTGTGGCTAAATATGTTCATCTCAAGGGTGTCATTGCCTATTGAAGTAAATGATTGAAACTAACTGAGGTAATGTTTTCTTCTGGCTGGTTGGGCAAGTACTTTATCTTTT